GTCTTGAAAGTTAAATATAGTCTATAATTGTAAAAGTCAGCGTGTTTGACTTTCTTATAGGAGTTTGACTTTGACTTGTCTTTAGTATGTTGACCATATAAATACTAGCTAGTCTTTGTAATTTGAAGAAGAGAGCTTATTTGTAATAATACATACAAAAGAGAGGTTTGACTATCCTTTGAATGCATTGACTTTCTCTCTCATTGTTCTTGGTGTTCTTACAAGTTATATCCTAATCTGCCATTGTTATGAAGATTGATCAGTGATAAAAGGGACTCTCAGGTTGTCGTATGTTGGAAACGTTAGGATTATTTAAGTTAAAATGTTAGTGTATATGTATGTGATATATATTTCTATCTAGTTTGGGTTGCCATTTGTTGGGCAAATATTAGGATTGTTTAAGTTAGAATGTTAATATATATATATATAGTTTGGGTTGCCATTTGTTGGGCAAACGTTAGGGTTGTTTTAGTTGGAAACGTTCCATTTATAGTCGTTATGCTGCCGAAATTGACTGGTAGTATTTTTTTAAACCACAGGAWACCTATTCAAACAATYTCWMYGAAAAGTACGGCGAGGATCCCTCGGCCTATCCCCTAGTTGATACTGACTTGTGGAATGAGGCGGTTGGGGGATCCAAGAAAGGCCGTCTATTTGGGTTCAGGTACAATGAAGATCCCAATTTGGTCTTGACCGGGACATCCTCACAAGCAAATTCAAGTGGATCGCCTAACGTAGATAGTCATGTATGTACCTTTTTATCCTTTGATGTTTATTTATTTCATTTATACTTCTTATTAGAAATTTTAACGTTTTATTGTATTTATAGTTAATTAACAACTTACAATCCCAAATTGAAGAAATGCGCACTCAAGATGAGATCCGACAGAAGGAGGTTGAGGATCTTATTCGCCGAAATGAGATTCGAGAGAAGGAGGTTGAGGAACTTCTTCGCCGAGAAGAGATCCGAAACAGGGAAAATGAGATCCGAAACAGGGAAGATGAGATCCGGAAGAAAGAGCATGCAGACCTGATGGATATGATGAAGAGGTTTACACAATCTCAACAGTTTCTGCCTACTCCGCCGCAATAGATTTAATATAGTGCATTAATGAACTAGCGTCATCAATCGAATTTATATATGTATATGTATATTATTTCGTCCGGATAATCATATTAGGTATTTATGACATATTTGTGTATTGTATATTTGTATTTAATTACAGGATATTTATATTTTGGTTTTTTTTCCTGTACCAGCTAAATTTCCGACGGATTTTTGGCGGAAAATCCGTCGGTAAATATAAGTTTTATTTAAAAAATTTCCGACGGATTTCCGATGGAAAAATCCGTCGGTAAATATTTTCCGTCAATTAAAAATAAAAATATATTAATATTTTAAATTAGGAAAAAAAATTAAAATATAATTACCGACGGAATTTCCGTCGGAAATCCGTCGGAAAGAAATGCTATTTTTATTTTTAAATACCAATGGACTTTCTTGTTTGGAATGATTAAGTCCTTGGACTTTTTTTTGGAACAAATAAATCGTTGGACATTCCAAAACATGTTAAATAAGTCAATGGACAATTTTTTGGAACAAATAAGTCATTGGACATTCCAAAATATGTTAAATAAGTCATTGGACAATTTTTTGAGCAAATAAGTTCTTGGACATTCCAAAAAATGTTAAATAACTCCTTGGACAATTTTTGGAACAAATAAG